CCATTGCATGCAATCGACCTCTACCCCTACTTTTTCGAGTTAGAGAGTCATGTATATTAGGGTTTGAATTTTTACTAGAAGGAAAAGAACATGTCATTGTGATAGCCTCTCAAAGAGATGGTAGTTCACGTGATATCTTATATGATGCCTTATAGTATATTTTATGTAGCACCGATATCGAACGGAACACGGGACATGATACTCTTACACGTTAATTCTAAAAAATATTTGATTTTGACACGTTAAGATACGTTTTGATATTGAATAATATTTTTAATTTATGTTGCGTATATTATATTTAATATTCAATAATTTAACAAAAAAATAAAGCTAAACTTATAATACCTATTAATTTTGCAAAGAAACATAAGATATCACAAATATTTATATTAAATTTAATAAAATGGTAATAATAATCCAACGAATCTAATAGTTAAAACTAAAAATACAAATGCAACGCAACCTTTGAACCTTTTTTTGAGTTTCTACAACGCGCGTTGAAGTGTCGGACACGATACATCGGGATTTTTAAAGTGTCGGTGTTTCATAGATATTTTCCATATAATTGGGCACACCTCTTTTGTTATTGTACACTTTGCCTCAATCACATATTAATTTGAGTGTCCAATTCATCGCCAAAGATCATGAGCAACCATAAAAAAGACCGAAAGCAACACCCATCAATTGGTTCACATTATCTATATGAACTACATTATTACCTATCAATCATCTCCTCTTAGACCCTTCGTTTCATAGTTGAAATTTATAAACACGTTTTATAAAATTTGATACACTGTTAGCACGGAATGCTTTTGGTAGGCACTGTCCAATTCAAAACAATGAAAGACATATGAATGCTTTACATCCTTTCCCCTTTTTGGTGCTTCAACCTATGTTAATGGTAATTCTACATAATGAATTCGAATGCAGGGATTTAGATAGAAGTCATGTACCATGGAAAAACAAAAAAGCTTCTACAAGAAATGCTCATAAAATCAATTTAATAATAAAAGAAGGATGAAATCTAGCAAAGAGAAAGACATAAACAAAATAAATCATGTATTTTTCAATTGAATCAATATTAATTTCCAAGAGGGTGAGACAATAAGTAATAACTATATGCTGCGTAACATATGTACGTCATTACATAGCCATGTGAAGATACATGTGAGAGTTGGTCAAAGCTTACAGAAAATTTCAGATTAATGACGATCACCTAAATATTCAGTTCTCATCTTCTTCTTGTCCTTGAGGTTCTTGATGCTTTTCTTGAGCTTGGCCCAACCCTTCTTGCATGCACCAACAACCTTCACACTTTGTTTGACCATGACTTTCGTGGCTTTCTTTGCCCCAGCCTTGGCTTTCTTTGCTGTGTCCTTAACTTGCTTTTCAAAATCAGCCATCTTGAATTCGATCTCAATTCGAATTCAATGGCTGCAAAGGGTGTGCAGGTACACGAGCAGTTTTAGCAGCACCAATATATATAAAGTTCTAGAGCTGTATTTATAAGATTATGTTAGAGATTCCAACCTGTAATGTGTATGACACATTTAGAAGGTTAACCTTGATTTGCGCTAATCTCAATGCCTCTCAGCCTTCCATTTTTCATTGTAACATTATACTACTAATTAGTCAATTGGTAAAAATTTAAAATCACCTAATCAACAATATCTACCCAATTGTCTTATCTAACTTTAGTTTTTGTTGCCCATTTAATTTGACCATACTAATATGGGTCACCCCACAAAAAAAGTGTTAATTGGATTTGGTTTAAGATGATGAGATCTCAATTTCCAACAACTATTATCAGATATTTTATTGAAATTAGCTGGCACCTTAGTTTTCTAGTTTTTTTTATCTTTTTTCTTTTTCTATCGGTTGATGGGTTATTTGACTAATTCGGTCGAGTCAAACAAGACTACAATGATACAAAACTCACTCTACTTATAGTTCTTTCGCAACATCAAAGATCTGTCTAAATTTTGGAAACATGTATCCCAAATTATGTTAAGGATTTTCCAGGAAAAATGGGGACAAATTTGCAAAAATACAGCCTGAATTTTCTTGACGGTCTCTTTCTCGATACTTTGGTGCGTATTTGCGTTTAAATTTTGAAGAACTAAATTATAAGATATTTGTTTTTGTAAGAACTGATTTTCCTTGATTGAATAATTGTAAGATATAAAATAAAGTGAAGATTATGCTTACAACCTATTTTCGTTTACAAATTTTTTACAATCATATTTTAATCATTGATTTACTTCAATCAACGGTTATTATTTTTGCAAATCAAACTCAGTAATTAATTATTAATTCGTAATAAATGATAATCGTTAATTGACGGAAATCAACGGTTAAAACATGGTTGTAAACAAAAATAGGTGATAAGTATAACCTTCCTCATAAAATAATTCATAATTACAAAAAAAAATAAAAATTAGGCTGTAGGTGTAATTAATTTGCAGCCTTAAAATACATGAGAAATAGGTCATCCTCAAATGCAGAAATCATGTTTTGCGTCAAACTCGATTTGCCCTAGATTTAAACATGCAAGAAACCGCGTTCAATGTAATTTGCTACCTCAAAATCTGTTTGGCTTAACCGAAACATTAACTACGGAGGCTCTTAATATTGTAAGATAGATAATTAACAGAGATTTGACAAAGCTATTAACGGGAACTTAATCATGTGATCGGCTATTAACAGCATTGGAAGATTGACAAAGATAATGGAAAGTTTAGATTGATACCATATCAAAAGAAATTTGTGAATGGTTTAAAAGATTCCTCAATAATTGCCAGTTTTATTTATCTAAGATTTTTTTTTTTTTTAGAGCTATCCGCGATTGTTTCGTCTAGGATTCGAATCAAAGAATTTTCAGCTCCAACATAATATCTAAGATTTACAATAGCTAATTATGAAAACAAGAAACTACATTAATCCTGATATTAAAAAACATATAAATCAAATAAAAAATCATAAGACCTATTGCTCATAACCATGATAAAATGCTTGTGATGCAAACTGATCATTTGATTACTTTAATTTTACGCCACTATAGTAACTTGATGGCATAAGGAATATTTACACAATATAAATAATATGCCCAACAATGAGCAACTGGTTGAGATGTACAATTTGTTCATGAAAGACATCACCAAAATTTAAAATTGACTTACAAAACTAAAATTAATAAAAAAATATATATATAAAAAAAATATCAGAATTAAGCCAGAAGTCTTGTGAATCTGGTTTTGTATTGCTAATCTAGCTAAAAGTGAAGGTGCATTCTGATCTTGTACCACCCTCTCTTAAAACACCCTACACACGTCCATCCACTCTTGATTACACATCTAATACTTTTAGATCTCTTCATCTGCTTATCTTGTAGCATGGAATCACACAAAACATCCTTTGAGGTTGAATCCATATACCCAAATAAGACTAACGTCTCGAGTTCGAGTTTTGAGAATGAGAAAAAAAAAACCTTTGAAAAAACGGCTCGCAATACAAATCCAACGGAGCTCAAACTGGATTAGTCAGTTCGAATCAACTGTGGAGAATTCAAAAGATATATATGTATTTTTCTTTACTTTGTTAGAGACAATGCCTTGTTATGAATGATACCAAGCTCTTTCATCTGTAACTCTTAAATTGTCTTTTTTTTTTTTGGATATTAACTCTTAAATTGTCTTTTATAATGCCTTGTGAGGTTACTATTTGATCTGTTTCTTCTAGTACGTGTTTACTGTATTTAGTGTGTTTCTAGGTTCCATTTTGTGTAATTTAGTATTTGCTGGCTGTTTTCTCTATTTTTGGCCATGACGAGTTTAAGGCGTGTTCATCTAATTTCTGTATCAAATGTTGGCCTACGTAAAAATTAATTTGTTATAGAGTTTTCCATTAAATTGTGGTGAAAAATAATTATCTTTTTTTAATAAAATAAAATAAAATATGATGACAGAATATTTCGTTAAATTCCGTTGCAATGTAAAACAATTGAGATAGAAGTTGGTAAACAATTTCTATCACGATATATAGTTTGTTAAATTGTGACAGAAATACTTCTTTTATTTCCTATTACAGTTTTAGTTTATCATGTGGGGGCGGTTGTAGTTACCATCATTTTAGGCTAATCACTTTTATTACCTATTTGATTATTGTTGAATCAATTTGAAATTTAACAATTAAAAAACCGAAAAAATTAATCAACAAATAGTAAAAGTAATAACCCCTATCCTATATTGAGCCAATATTTTACATAAATTTAGTCACTGATTGTTTTTCAAATTCTAATTTTTGTTTGAATTTTAATCCTGTGATCATACAAAATTTATAAAGGTTTATATTAATCTTATGTTGCTAGAGAGAAATTATCTGCAGCTAATACATGCTTTTCAAGATACGGTTCATCCTAAAAAAACATGTGTCGGCTGCAAATAACTTCTTTCTCCTGCAGCAGAAGATACGTATATCCCATTTATAAAACCAATGAACATGACAAAACATGAATAAATCACCCCAAAAAATAATGAAAAAATGAATGTCATGTCTAGTATATTATAGTATATGGGATAAACTATATATATATATATATATATATCTTATTTTTTTTATTTTATTTTTCAGTGCATAAGTATAGATATCAATACCTGTGTTATAACTGTAGATTGGCCATATGTATATAAGCGCTGACCTTTCTAGCTAGTAGAAGAAGGTCACCCAGTAATTCACCAGAGACTGCCTAAAAAACATCTCTCTAAAGAGGAAATGCTATAAACTATAAACCATCTTATAAAGCAGAGTAGCAAACAACCACCATTAAGGCCTTTCACTCGATTGATGTCTAGTATATGTAAGGGGGGACTCAAAAGTTTAATGGTGTACATAGCTAAGAGGTTAGTGCACTAATATTTTGATTATGAAAAATAAAACATAATCAGCCATTTTAGTAAACAAAGATTAGGAAATTCTTTACTCATGAAATGAATTGGTTTCACCCAATGAAAATATAGTACTTAAACACAAGACCTCACATTGATAATTGAATAATAGCAAATGTAATTGAAACAAGGCCACAGAGGCTTACAAGTTCAAGAGTTGCTCATGAATGAGAACAAAAGGTGAACATGGCTTAATAAAACTCCCCTATGCATAGCAATGAACATTAATACCTTATCAGAATATGTGCCAATAATCTATTCTTTACCCACAACCTGTAGAAGTATAAGCAACTGAAGGAAATAGTAAGATACTCCCCCAACTGTAGCATACTGCAACTTCTCTTTTCCTTCTACTGCTGGGAAGTCATTGTCCTTTGAACGATTAAAGCCTCCACCTAACCATCCCAGATTTCTGTAACCTCCATTATACAGCTTTGAAGCTGCTGTCATTGACCTGAATCACTCAGCAAAACCAACAAGTATGTTGTTTTATTGCCATATTCAACTTGTTCTACTTGCTGAGGTGACCTTTATGTTTTAATATTGTAAATTGGGAAAAGTCACATATGCAATACAAACTATTAAAGCTTCAAATCAAATTCATTGATAGTTTTATTGATAAAAATAAAAATGAATGTTAAAGAGTTTATTAAAATTATTAACTGTGTCATGTGGGAAAATTGATCCTCTCATGTCTTATTTTAACAGGATTATGAACATGTTAAATTGAGATATGAAATGATTCACTCTCTGCGTTAGGTGTGACAATTTTTAGAAGCTGGTAAATCTTAGTTTCACATGAGAGGGAAAGAAGTTAATTGGACCTACTTTCAAGTTAGTTGATAAAAACTAGGATGGTGACTCTTAAAAATACCAAATAAATATACATCATTTATCCTGTTTCCTGATTCATGAAATGGTATGTTTTTTCTCACCAAGAACAGGAACAACAAGTGCAAATAAGTTAACCAATCATTCAAAGCTATATAGTACATAATCTTGATACAACTAAATAACCATATTTTGCAACAAAACAATTTCTTTCATATGCTCACCTCAATCCTTCTCCACATGCCACAAGAAGCTTGGTGTCCTTACTAGGAATGGCATTTTCCACTTGACTAAGGAACTCAGAGTTAACATTAGTGAGGTATTGGCCAGTCCACAAGCCAATGTAACCAAAATGCACCCACTTTTTAAGCAGAGTTATAGGACTATTATCAATGTCTTCCACAAAGATTGGCACGTGCAAAGACCCCACCACACGTGCCTTCTCTCTCTCCCATGTTGGCCTAACATCAAGGAGAATGAACCCTTCTGAGTTCATGGCTGTGGAAGCATCTTTTGGCCATATAGTCCTCACAGTCCCAGACTCTATGAGCTGTCTGGCACTGCTTCTAGTAGAGGATGTTGCATTGATGACTTGAAATCTTGTGGTTCTTGTGGTTGTGGGAAAAGGGGCCTCTAGTTGTGTCTTGTGTTTCAGAATGGAAGTTCTGAACAAATGGTTCAATTGGGTTGCCATATTCCTATGTCTCTCCCACTCTTGCTTTTGAGTATTGACATCTAAGAATGTGTTGTGTTGAAGGATTTGATTTGACTTGTTTGTGATGATAACAAACGATTAAAGAACATTGCCATTGGTTCTCTGAGTTTTCTTTTTTGTCTGTTTGCTACTTGCTTTTTTTGCTATTTATCTACAAAGAGTCAAAGGCATTTTCTGCTTTCTCATAAGGATAAGAAAGGGCATTTTATTCTACTGCTGAAAATGCTTTATCAAACACTTGTGTTACCAGTTTTTTTTTTTTGTTTTTTAAGTATTATAGTAGGAATTTCAGGGAAAAAGATAAATTAATTAATTTAAGCTTGGCATTATGTTTTATCAGAAAATTCTGCAAATATAAAATTTTATTAGGAAACGTTGGAAACTGGTTATAAATAAAATGAATACGGTCATACTAATAAACTTAAATAATTTAAAACAAGACAAAATAAAATTATAAATGTACAAATTGATACATATGATGAATAACTTAGAGCATGCTTATTTTGCTTCTTCTTCTTCTTTTTTAAAAAAGCTTTTCTTTTTAAATAAAAATATCTTTCTCTAAGTTTTTCAAGTACAAAGGAAGGATCGATAAGGATTACATCTTTTTTACTAGGGGTGTTCGCGGTCTGGATTGGATCGGTTTTGGAAGCAAAAATCATCTGATCCAATACCTTCGGTTTGATTATTTAATCATCCATTCGGTTTGAATTTTTTTTCAAATCCGATCATATCTCATCCAATTTTTTTCGGTTTGGATTTGATCGGTTTTCGGTTTTTTGAAAATCATAAAATTTGTTTCATGATTATTGTGAAAATAACATCTTTTATATATATTGGCATTGTAAATTATCTTTTTTGAAATACAAAAACATCAGTAAACAATAATATAGTTTTTTTTTTTGGGCAATGAGATATGAAGCTCTACACAGATGAAATTTTGTTGAAGATTATATTTTTTCTTGGATGTAGTTGATGGGTTAACAGGTTTTGGGTTTAAAAATTTTTGGGCTATGATTAGGAAAAGCACAAGTAGGTAGAGGAAAATTAATATATTGGATCGGTTTTCATCAACCCATCCGAAAACCGATTCAATCCAATTAAAATTTGCGATTTATTTTTATTTTTGAATTTTCGGTTTTCGGTTTATTTGATTATTGATTTTTCGGTTCAATTTTTGCGGTTTGAATTGGTTTGGATTGGTTGATGAACACCCTTATTTTTTACTACCAATTACTGGCTACGAATAAAAGGGCAAACACTACAATCTAGAAAGGTTATGACAAGCTGTAAGAATTGATTGAATTTAGGAAAAATTTAAGGGTGATAATTGGTAACTCGTTTTTCAGCTGCAAATGAGAAGGTTGGAGTATTTAGGACACCCCGCATTGTTATTTGAGCCTTTTATTTATTTATGGGAAATAATACTCTCATGCTACATGAGGGTAAATCATTTTCCTACACAAATTTGTTTCTGTGCCAATTAATTTTTCTTTTCTTTTTAAATATAAAATATGTGACCCACATTTAGCTTCTTTCTACTTTTTTTCTATCCTACAATCCTACAACATAAGAAAACTTAAACCCTTTATTTATAGGTAAATGTGATAATTGCTCTCTAGGGTGCTCAAAATCTGCACCTTTTTACTACACAAAATTAGAAATATTTTTTCCTTTCTTCAAAGGATTTAATGCTTTTTCTTTACTGCAGAAAAATTTTATCTGTCACATTCACATAAAAATGAGTGGATCCTAGTGTATAGTGGGATCTACTCATTTTTATGTGAGTATGACAGATAAATTTTTTCTCCAGTAAAAACAAAATTATTTTTTGCTATTGGGTAATACATGAGTGGGGGTGGAATAATAAGTATAGAACACTTCTCGCCAAAAAATTAAAATATTGTTATTTTAATAAAAAAAATTACGAAAACATAGTTATTTTGAGCCAATTTATGGATCTATTGTTGTAATATCCCAAGAAAATAATAGTGATTTATAATACAATAAATTAATAATAGTAATAAATTATAAATTAGTAGTAATAATAATGTATATATATCATTAGGATTAGATGATAAATTGTGATTTTTTGCATTATTAATTGATTGGTCATTTATGCATTAATGTTTGATTGGTAATATGATTGGATTAGGATGAGTCAGCAAACTTTATTTGATTAGATATGATGAGTCAGCCTATAAGCCAGTCTTGAGTCAGCAATATTTTGAGCCATAAGAAATTAAGAAGAAGAAAAAATAATTGTATGAAATTCATATTTGAGCCCAAAACTCAAACTATAAATAAAGGTCTAGTCTAACCAAACCAAATCACTCCTGATCCTCAGCATCTTCTCCTTTTCTTCTATTTCTTCTTTCAAATTTCTTTATACAATTATTTCCTTTTGTAGGGATTAGGATTATCTGATCTCTGTATTTGCTAACTTCTAGAGAGAGAAAAAAGCGATTTAGGAAGAGAAGTTCAATTGGTAACCAAAGAAATATAATAATAATAATAAAATAAAAATAAAAAGAAATTTGAAAGAAGAAAGAGTAGAAAGGAGAAATACTAAGGATTAGAAGTGATTTGGTTTTGTTAAGCTATGCCTCTATTCATAGTTGGAATTCTGGGCTCAGATATGGGCTTCATACAATTATTTCCCTTTTCTTCTTAATTTCTTATGGCTCAAAATATTGCTGACTCATGATTGACTCAAGGCTGACTCATGATTAACTTATCATATCTAATGAAATAAAGTTTGTTGACTCATCTCAATCTAATCACATTACCAATCAAACATTAATGCATAAATGACCAATCAATTAATAATTCAAACAATCATAATTTATCATCTAATCCTAATAATATATATATATATATATATATATATATATACATTATTATTACTACTACTAATTTATATTTTGTTACTATTATTAATTTATTGTATTATAAATTACTATTATTTTCCTGAGATATTACAATTGCACTCAAACACGCCCAAAATGGGTGTGACTACTCATGCCCTATGTTGCACCGACATCGATACGGGACACGGAATACGACACGACACGACACTCCGACACGTTAATTCTAAAAAATATTAAATTTCGACACGTTAGGACAAATTTTGATATTATATAATATTTTTAATCTATGTAGTATATATTATATTTAGTATTCAATAATTTAACAATAAAGCAAAGCTAAACTTATAATACCCATCAATTTTGTAAAGAAACATAATATATCCCAAATGTTTATATTAAACTCAATAAAATCATAATCCTAATCTAACGAATCTTATAGTTGGAAATCAAAATGCAACGTAATGTGACTTTGAACATTTTTTGAGTCTTTGCAACGAGTATTAGAGTGTCGGAAAATGTCAGAGTGTCGGTGAGTGTCGGACACGACACGTCAGGATTTTTGAAGTGTCGGACATGACACGACACGACACGTAATGTGACTTTGCGTAGATAGATAAGATTTTACCCAATTAAACTAACTTAAATACTTTAAGTTTGCAAACAGAAACCTTATTTCCTTATTTTTTTTCTCACGCACGTGCCTCGTTCCTCTTCTTCTCCGTGCGTCGTCTGTAGCCATTGTTGGAGAGCTTAAATTCCAACTTCTCCATTTCTTTATGAAATCAAGTGAGGTAAAAACCAAAGTTGCTTAGAATTAAGAGACAAACACAACCCCTAATCCATAATCTATCAAAAAGCCTTGTATTGAGAGAAAAATGGAAGGGAAAGTGGCACCCCTTTGTTGATTGAAGGTCCAAGAAGGCGTTTTGATCTCGTTTGAGGTTGAGAATCCACTCATTGGGTGATTCTAGGTAAGTCTATGTCAAGAAATCCTAGTTTCTTTTGAGTTTTGAGAAGGATTGATTTAGGTTTTCATTTTTAAAGTTTGGCTTGATTGAGCATGTTAGAGCTTGATTGAGGCTTAGCTCATGATGAGAAAAGTGTTTAGATGAGGATTTTAATGGTGAAAATGTATTCGGAAAAATTTGAGATACCGTATTTTTGAATAGTGACGTATATGAATAGTACCGTATACGTGAATAGTGACGTATACATGAATAGTACTGTAGAGATGAACAGTACCGTATGTATGAATAGTTAAGAAATATTTGGTAAGTAAAAGATAAAATCAATAAATGGTGTGTCTGGTTAAATACTTGACTTTGAACCATTTTATTGATATTTGTGTGAATTCCTTCTCTAGGTGTGCCTAGGGATTGTGAACGTTTGGATTCTCGTGGAGCAAGACAAGTAGCTTGTTCTTCAAGTAAGCAAATTGTAAAGCTCCAAGAGGTAAGCTCTATATTTATGGGGTTCGTTCCTACTTTGTGTTCCGTCATAGTGTACGTACTGTGGTTAGGTTGTATGATATGTATGAGATATATGATATAGATGCATTCATATAGAGCTATATGATAATATGATATGTTTTATTCTGATGTGTTTACTTTGATATGTGTTAATATGATATGTTTTGTTGAGTTCCGCTTTGGGTCCACCCTTGGGAACACGTACACTGATTCCTACTTGGGGTCCTCCCTTGAGATTGACTGTGTACACATTTGTTATATGACTTGTTCTGATATGATTTTTGTATTGATCTTTGGCCATGGATTGTATGGTACACTGATGTCTTCTTGGGTTCCCTTGAGATTGACGGTGTACGCCTCTGATATGTTCTGGTTCCGCTTGGGGTCCTCCTTTGGGAACACGTGCATTGATTTCTGCTTGGGGTCCTCCCTTGGGAATGACTCTGTATGCCTCTGATATGTTCTGGTTCTGCTTGGGGTCCTCCCTTGGGAACACGTGCGTTGATTTCCGCTTGGGTTCCTCCCTTGGGAATGACTACGTACGCCTCCGAAATGTTCTGGTTCCGCTTGGGGTCCTCCCTTGGGAACACATACGTTGATTTCCGTTTGGGGTCATTCCTTGAGAATTACTATGTACATCTCTGATATGATTTGTTTTGTTATGATTTGATTATTGTAATGTTTTGTAAA